CTGCTAATACTTTGAAGAAAGCTGCTCAGACGAGGTGTTTTGTCTTTGCACATAAAAAAAAAATTCAACAAAAATGCACACACACTGATTTTATGTGTGAGAGTGTAAAACACCACTGTGTATGACACCATGTTTTATGTGTGAGGAGTGTAAAACACCACTGTGTATGACACCATGTTTCAGAGAGTTCCACAAGCTGCAGAACTTCTAGGAGTATGTTCAGTGACTGTATATTGGTATATATATTATAGAACAATAGTAATAAACAATTTTTTGTATTTTGTTTTTGTAAACAAGTTTTGTAAACAATATATTGATAATTATGTTTGTGTGCTTATTGTGTTGTATACAACGAGTGTATATATGTCATTGCACCTTTTTTTGGGCCACAGGCCCAAATTTATGTGAAAAAATAAAATAGGGGAAAAACAACAAACCTTCAAAAACAAGTAAACTAAAGTTTTTCCCGGGGGGGAGCGGGCAGTCCGCTGCTGTTGCCATACCGGCCATTTTCTGCAAACTTTATGCCTCTATATCTCGGGAAGTACGATGGAAAATTTTTTTGGGGGGCTAAAACAATCAAAAAAAAATCTTAACATTTTCATAAGAAAAAATATTTTTTTTTTTTTTTTTGAATATTTTTCGAACCAGGAGACACTTTAGGATTGGGGCCCCTTTGAAGTCAAAGGGTTAAAGTTTTCAATGGGAAAAAAATTTTAACTTTTTCTCCCAAAAAATTTTTTTTGTTTTTTTGCAGAATGGATTTTTTAAATTAAATCATGTCATTTATGTAACTAATCAGACCTGTAAATTTCCCCCAATTTTAAAATTGTTAAAAACATATAGCATGAACTAATAGAATAACAGTTCTCCTTTTTTATTTAAAATTCTAAATTTACACTTATTGTTATTGCCCTTTTAACTTAAGTTAGTCTTAAGTTTACCAAAAAGCTCGTAATATAGGGGATTTTTGGGAGTACACCCCAAAGCATTTTCCTTTGTACAAAAATTGTATCATGCTGAAATAAACTATTTTTTTTTCCAACAAACCGGCCATATCCCACCAAGGCAGGGTGGCCCAAAAAGAAAAACGAAAGTTTCTCTTTTTAAATTTAGTAATTTATACAGAAGAAGGGGTTACAAGGCCCTTGCTCCCGGCATTTTAGTCGTCTCTTACAACACGCATGGCTTACGGAGGAAGAATTCTGTTCCACTTTCCCATGGAGATAAGAAGAAATAAACAAGAACAAGAACTAGATAGAAAATATATGCTTGTACATGTATGTGTAGTGTGACCTAAGTGTAAGTAGAAGTAGCAAGACGTACCTGAAATCTTGCATAAATAAACTGTTAATTTTATTCTTATTATTTTTTTTTTTTTAACAAACCAGCCGTATCCCACTAAGGCGGGGTGGCCCAAAAGGAAAAACGAAAGTTTCTCCTTTTACATTTAGTATTATATACAGGAGAAGGGGTTACTAGCCCCTTGCTCCTGGCATTTTAGTCGCCTCTTACAACACGCATGGCTTACAGATGAAGAATTCTGTTCCACTTCCCCATGGAGGTAAGAGGAAGTAAACAAGAACAAGAACTAGTAAAAAAATAGAAGAAAACCCAGAGGGGTGTGTATATATATATGCTTGTACATGTATGTGTAGTGTGACCTAAGTGTAAGTAGAAGTAGCAAGACATACCTGAAACCTTGCATGTTTATGAGACAGAAAAATGGACAGCAGTCCTACCATCATGTAAAACAATTACAGGCTTTCGTTTTACACTCTCTTGGCAGGACGGTAGTACCTCCCTGGGCGGTTGCTGTCTACCAACTTACTACCTAGAATTATTATTATTATTATTTTTTTTTTATTATCACACTGGCCGATTCCCACCAAGGCAGGGTGGCCCGAAAAAGAAAAACTTTTACCATCATTCACTCCATCACTGTCTTGCCAGAAGGGTGCTTTACACTACAGTTTTTAAACTGCAACATTAACACCCTCCTTCAGAGTGCAGGCACTGTACTTCCCATCTCCAGGACTCAAGTCCGGCCTGCCGGTTTCCCTGAACCCCTTCATAAATGTTTCTTTGCTCACACTCCAACAGCACATCAAGTATTAAAAACCATTTGTCTCCATTCACTCCTATCAAACACACTCACGCATTGCCTGCTGGAAGTCCAAGCCCCTCGCACACAAAACCTCCTTTACCCCCTCCCTCCAACCTTTCCTAGGCCGACCCCTACCCCGCCTTCCTTCCACTACAGACTGATACACTCTTGAAGTCACTCTGTTTCGGTCCATTCTCTCTACATGTCCGAACCACCTCAACAACTCTTCCTCAGCCCTCTGGACAACAGTTTTGGTAATCCCGCACCTCCTCCTAACTTCCAAACTACGAATTCTCTGCATTATATTCACACACCACATTGCCCTCAGACATGACATCTCCACTGCCTCCAGCCTTCTCCTCGCTGCAACATTCATCACCCATGCTTCACACCCATATAAGAGCATTGGTAAAACTATACTCTCATACATTCCCCTCTTTGCCTCCAAGGACAAAGTTCTTTGTCTCCACAGACTCCTAAGTGCACCACTCACCCTTTTCCCCTCATCAATTCTATGATTCACCTCATCTTTCATAGACCCATCCGCTGACACGTCTACTCCCAAATATCTGAATACATTCACCTCCTCCATACTCTCTCCCTCCAATCTGATATCCAATCTTTCATCACCTAATCTTTTTGTTATCCGCATAACCTTACTCTTTCCTGTATTCACTTTTAATTTTCTTCCTTTGCACACTCTACCAAATTCATCCACCAATCTCTGCAACTTCTCTTCAGAATCTCCCAAGAGCACAGTGTCATCAGCAAAGAGCAACTGTGACAACTCCCACTTTATGTGTGATTCTTTATCTTTTAACTCCACGCCTCTTGCCAAGACCCTCGCATTTACTTCTCTTACAACCCCATCTATAAATATATTAAACAACCACAGGGGACATTCACACATCCTTGTCTAAGGCCTACTTTTACGGGGAAATAATTTCCCTCTTTCCACTTTACTCTAACTTGAGCCTCACTTTTCCTCATAAAAACTCTTCATTTGCTTTCAGTAACCTACCTCCTACACCATACACTTGCAACATCTCCCACATTGCCCCCCTATCCACCTTGTCATACGCCTTTTTCCAAATCCATAAATGCCACAAAGACCTCTTTAGCCTTATCTAAATACTGTTCACTATATGTTTCACTGTAAACACCTGGTCCACACAACCCCCTACCTTTCCTAAAGCCTCCTTGTTCATCTGCTATCCTATTCTCCGCTTACTCTTAATTCTTTCGATAATAACTCTACCATTCACTTACCAGGTATACTCAACAGACTTATCCCCTATAATTTTTGCACTCTCTTTTGTCCCCTTTGCTTTATACAAAGGAACTATGCATGCTCTCTGCCAATCACTAATACCTTACCCTCTTCCATACATTTATTAAATAATTGCAAACCCAAACCCCTCCAAAACTATATCCCCACCTGCTTTTAACATTTCTATCTTTATCCCATCAATCCCGGGTGCCTTACCCCCTTTCATTTAAATATGCCTCACGAAAATTCCCCCACACTCACAACTGGCTCTTCCTCACTCCTACAAGATGTTATTCCTCCTTGCCCTATACACAAATCATAGCTTCCCTATCTTCATCAACATTTAACAATTCCTCAAAATATTCCCTCCATTTTCCCAATACAGTGGACCCCCGGTTAACGATATTTTTTCACTCCAGAAGTATGTTCAGGTGCCAGTACTGACCGAATTTGTTCCCATAAGGAATATTGTGAAGTAGATTAGTCCATTTCAGACCCCCAAACATACACGTACAAACGCACTTACATAAATACACTTACATAATTGGTCGCATTCGGAAGTGATCGTTATGGGGGGGTCCACTGTACCTCTAACTCTCCATTTAATAACTCTCCTCTCCTATTTTTAACTGACAAATCCATTTGTTCTCTAGGCTTCCTTAACTTGTTAATCTCACTCCAAAACTTTTTCTTATTTTCAACAAAATTTGTTGATAACATCTCACCCACTCTCTCATTTGCTCTCTTTTTACATTGCTTCACCACACTCTTAACCTCTCTCTTTTTCTCCATATACTCTTCCCTCCTTGCATCACTTCTACTTTGTAAAAACTTCTCATATGCTAACTTTTTCTCCCTTACTACTCTCTTTACATCATCATTCCACCAATCGCTCCTCTTCCCTCCCGCACCCACTTTCCTGTAACCACAAACTTCTGCTGAACACTCTAACACTACATTTTTAAACCTACCCCATACCTCTTCGACCCCATTGTCTATGCTCTCATTAGCCCATCTATCCTCCAATAGCTGTTTATATCTTACCCTAACTGCCTCCTCTTTTAGTTATTATTATTATTATTATTATTATTATTATTATTATTATTATTATTATTATCTTAGTTTTCAGTTGACGAATGCCTAAGATTCTCTCAGCTACTTGAATCTATCGTAAATTCCTACAGTAATTAGCTTCTTTTAGCATTTAGGTTAATTAAAGTATATTAGAGGGTGTTGAATTAGACACATGTGCAACTCTTGGGTATCTTTATTGTGGAAACGTTTCGCCACACAGTGGCTTCATCAGTCCATACAAAGGAGAAACTTGAAGAACAGGAGGAGAATGAGGTAATCAGTCCCTCAGCCATTCATCTACAATATTAGTGTCACAGTCTTCACAAGCCTTTTTTACATAACTTCAGAAAAGGATCATGTTTGATCAGTGAAATAAAAAAAAGTACCTGTGTTGGCATTGGCATTTGAAAATTCATTTTACTTTGAGCATAAAAGACTTCATACACTTCAAACTTGATAATTTGGTCCATTCTTTACTATTATCAGGTAGTTTTCTTCCTTTTTCTCTCACAATTTCAAAAGTTTAGGACAGACTAAAACATTGTCTAGATTCATCTGTAAATTTGAGTTGTGAATTGTTCCGGTATTGGTGCAGTATTGTGACTTATTCTTTAATTTTTCTTTTTTTTTTTGCAGGTTTATTTTACTACATAGCATCAGTTTTGCTATGGATAGGATGTATGAGAGCTGGGCGAGACATTCATCGGAAGCTCCTGGATAGTGTCTTACATTTCCCAATGAGCTTTTTTGACACTAATCCTAGTGGACGTATCATGAATCGCCTCAGTAAAGATATAGACATCCTTGACAGTTTGCTGCCTGTGCTCATTACACATGGATTATTACTCTTATCTCAGGTAAGATAGAATTCTTGTCACTAACAATTCACATCTCAGTCTTTGAAATTTCTGTGCAATTGTTGGAATTCTTCATCCCCTCTTTGTCTCATAAAGCAGTGTGTGTCTATCCTCTTTCATTGATAAACCACACTTCATCTTGTATTTTGTGGTCTTTGAATACAAGAATAAGTTATAATTTGATGGATGGAACAATTCACAGCTAACCCACAAATGTGGGATGAAGCCTGGTCAGCATTTCACTCACATGATAATGGTTCAAGGTACAAATACAAATACAGTTTTATTTCTTTTAAAATGGACTGAAACTTTGTCTAGGTTTTCTCTCCAGTTTGTTGGTTGTGGATGTTTTTTTTTGTTTACTGATTCATTTATCTCACAGGTTATCACAACATTGATCGTGATTATTGCCTCAACACCGTTTATTGTGGTTGTGGTTCTTCCCGTCATGGTGCTATACTATTTTATCCTGATTGTCTATATTTCAACCACTAGACAACTCAAGCGGATAGAATCTGTTTCTAAATCCCCTATCTACTCACATTTTGGAGAGTGTGTTCAAGGTATGTCCTATGGTTATCAACAACTAAAGCAGGAGGTATATTTTATGGTTAATGAGACTTCAATGATTTTATTTACATTTAACATATGCGCAGCTATATTAAATTTTTTTTTTGATAAGAGTGCAATTTTATGTAACTTTATGGTTAATAAAAGTTTTAAAGTGTTGCCTTTATGTTTCTTTAAATGTTTAAATGAATTTTATTTCAGGTGTCTCCATTATTCGGGCATTTAAAAAAGAAGACAATTTTATTCATGCAGCCCACAAAAAAATTGATTATTTTGTCCAAGCTTTCTTAGCCAATTTGGCTTGTAACAGGTCAGTTTTCAAATTTATAACTAATTAAAACTCTAAATTCTTGCATAAATTCTCATTTTATTTCTGCCTGATCTTTCAGTTTTCACAATGGCTTAGCTCTTCTCACCCTAATTGCAAATGTAGCTAACAGATCTACTTCATAAATGTTTGTAATGTTTTTACACACACACTTGTTATACTCTGGATGATTTTAGTAGATAATACACTAATAATCAAAGCTATCCATGCCCTGTTTAGAGATTAATTTTACATGGGTGCAGGATATTTTTTAAACTCAATATATTGAATCATTTTTATATATGCACACTTGTATACACTTCTTTCTTTCAACACACCAACCGTATCCCATTGAGGCGGGGTGGCCCAAAAGGAAAAATGAAAGTTTCTCCTTTTACATTTAGTAATATATACAGGAGAAGGGGTTACTAGCCACTTGCTTCTGGCATTTTAGCTGCCTCTTACAACATGCATGACTTATGAAGAAAGAATTCTGTTCCACTTCCCCATGGAGGTAAGAGGAAATAAACAAGAACAAGAACTAGTAAGAAAATAGAAGAAAACCCAGAGGGGTGTGTGTGTGTATATATATGCTTGTACATGTATGTGTAGTGTGACCTAAGTGTAAGTAGAAGTAGCAAGACGTACCTGAAACCTTGCATGTTTGAGACAGAAAAATGGACACCAGCAATCCTACCATCATGTAAAACAATTACAGGCTTTCGTTTTACACTCACTTGGCAGGACAGTAGTACCTCCCTGGGCGGTTGCTGTCTATCAACCTACTACCTAAAACTTGTATACACACACTAATAATAATAAAATGATTATCCCATTGTGTGCTTCTTATTTTAAGGTAGGGTGACCCAAAGGAGGAAGCCTCTTGTATTCCAATTTTCTTACCAGATAATGTTTAGTCTTCAAAACATGAAAAATCATTTTAAAGTTGCTATTTACCTTGATTTACTTTTTGTGCTATATTTGTCTATTGCAAGTGTTTAGTCATTGTTATATAACTCACTGTTCTTTAACTGGTCACATGTGATGCTAGTTTTCTCCCTCTTTAATCTTTTCACTGTCCAGACTCCCAAAATTAATATTGTTTTCAGTGTCCACTTATGAAAAAAATTCTTTTGAAATGGTAGAGAATCTTTTCTGTAGGTAATGACACCAAAAATATGAAATTTGATGTAAAGTTAGCAGCTTCTGTGTAGTTTACACATTTGCAATTTCACCCACTTTGAGTACTATTTTATGCCAATTCCATTGGTCCATTTGTCTAAATTCTTAGCTATTTTGCTAGTATGCCTTCTGTTCTTTTGATTGAGCACAAGAAACTACCCATTCAACTATTGCAACTACCCAATAAAGTGCACAGAATTTGGCAGTTTGTCCAATTTTACACAAAATTTAAAAAATACCAATTTAAAAATGAAATCCATAATAAAAAAAAACATTCCTGGCACTAAACCAACATTTCCTCAGTTCATTAATCCTCTCCTATTTTATGATTGCCTCCCAGACATGATTAGTCATGTTTTATAGCATCCCAGTAATTGAAATCTGACCTATTAAAAACTCATAAAACAGACTGGAGGGTGTAGGGAAATGCCTTATGCATCCTCAAAATTTGCTGATGACACCAAAATAGGCCGTCCAATTCATTCTATTGAGGACGTTAGTGCACTCCATTAGTGCACAGAGGGAAAATTCCTAGGTATCCACCTTGACAGTAGCCTTGAGTTCCGAACATACATACAACAAATCACCAAGAAAATCTCCAAGACTGTAGGCATAATATCAGAGATAAGGTACTATGTTCAACAATCAGCTCTCCTGGCACTGTACCATACACTCATAACCATACACTCATATCTTACATACACTCATATCTTACATACACTCATATCTTACATATGGAATTTGTGCATGGGGATCAACAACATCCAGTCACCTAAAACCCCTCATTACCCAGCAAAAGGCAGCAGTAAGAATGATAATGAATTCCCACTCCCGCCAGCACACTCCACCAATTTTCAAAAGTCTGAATCTGCTCACCATTAAGAACATCCATACTTATTCATGTGCCTACTACATACACAGAACAATACACGCTAATATAAACCCTCCACTCAAACTTCTCCCCACCAACTTAAACACGACACATGACCACAACACAAGACACAGATCTCTTTTTGATATACCTCGTGTCCTTATCACACTGTAAAAACTCTATGCACATAAAGGGCCCTAAAATATGGAATTCATTACCAGAAGACATTAAAGTAACCCAGTCTGAAAATCAGTTTAAGACTCTTCTCAAAAGCCATTTAATCACCCTAGACTAAATGCTAAATACTCACCTATGTACTTCCACATCATAACTTCAGCAATCACTTTGAACCTTTTATCCATTGTTGACAGGAATATAATTGAACCATTGTTTTCCACAAAAAGCATTTTAGACTATATGAATATATCCTTTGTCTTATACAAATTTAATTCACTTATAGTTAATAATCTACTGTTCAACTATGGAATAATTACTGTCCTACTGTACAACTATGATAAAATCCTTAGTGTTAAGTAGTCTGTAAGCCAATAATGTTAAGTTGGCCCATAATGCCTAGGCATAATAGAGGCTCTCTTTGCATTGCAACCCACTATTGTAAATATAAAATCTCAATGTACTGTTTGCAAAGACATAAAATAAATAAATAAATAAATAAAATAAATAAATTTGAATAGACTGATGCAGTGGTCGGAGAAGTGGCAGATGCAGTTTAATATAGACAAAATGCAAAGTTCTAAATGTTGGACAGGACAATAACCATGCCAGTTATAAACTGAATAGTGTAGATCTTAATACTACTGATTGCAAAAAAGGATTTAGGAGTTCTGGTTAGTAGTAATCTAAATCCAAGACAACAGTGCATAGTGTTCACAATAAAGCTAACAGAATCCTTGGCTTCATATCAAGAAGTATAAATAATAGAAGTCCTCAGGTTATTCTTCAACATTATATATCCTTGGTTAGGCCTCATTTAGATTAGCTGCACAGTTCTGGTCACCATATTACAGAATGGATATAAATGCACTGGAAAACGTACAGAGGAGGATGACAAAGCTCATCCCATGTATCAGAAATCTTCCCTATGAGAATAGACTGAGGGCCCTGAATCTGTACTCTCTAGAAGAGGGCCCTGAATCTGTACTCTCTAGAAAGGCATAGAATTAGGGGGATATGATTGAGGTGCATAAATGGAGAACAGGAATAAATAAAGGGGATGTAAATAGCGTGCTGAAAATATCCAGCCAAGACAGAACTCGCAGCAATGCTTTCAAGTTGGAAAAGTTCAGATTCAGGAAGGACATAGGAAAGCACTGGTTTGTTAATAGAGTTGTGGATGAGTGGAACAAACTCCTGAGTGCCATCATAGAAGCTAAGACCTTGTGAAGTTTTAAAAATAGGTTGGATAAATACATGAGTGGGTGTGGGTGGGAGTTGGACCTGACTAGCTTGGGCTACTAGGTCTGGTGCTGTGCTCCTTCCTTAAGTGGAAGTGACCTGACTAGGTGGTCATTGTTATAGGCCGGGGGGTGGCATGGACCTGCTTCGCATGGGTCACTAGGCCTCTTGCAGTGTTCCTTCTTTCTTATGTTCTCAAAAATTAAATATTGTGCTACGTTGAACTCAATTTTAAGCTATTTCCATTTCTGACACCAACCAAAGTCATCTTTATTTCAGTAGTATATCTTCCATTCTATCAAATGATACCAAGAAACAGCCAATAAAACTTTAAAAACCATCCAAGAAAACACCTCAAATTTGCTATTTTAAACCTTACACAAAGTCAGAGTTGTTTTTCCCATCATGTATCCCTGGGGCATGATTTTTTTTTTTATACTATGCACACTTGCCATACAGACCTATTCTCTCATATCGAGGCGAAATTTTACCGCTTATAGCTTATCTAAGTGAGTTGAGCTCATGGTGTAGAACTATGTGAGGGACCCTAGCCTTAGTGACAAAGTTCTCCGGGATGACCACTGAAAGGGTTAAGATTAACTTGCCTCAATACACAGAACACCGTTAGGTAAAGTAAGCTTATTCACTGAAAAAGAACATCATTTACAAACTAATAAAAAAATATTAAACATATGAACATCACTCAAAGAACTCTGAGCCTCCTACCATGATGGATAGCTTACCATCATCATGTGCTGTAACATCCTGGATAAATCATTGTAAATAGATAAGCTGCTTGTTATTGGTGTGTGTTTTTTTTTTTCTTCCAGGCCATTTTTTCTGTTTTTTACAGTCATTCAATTCATCATAAACCAGCCCCACTCTCCATGTACTTTTCCTTGTGAGTGGTTGATTATGATTCAAGATGTGAGATGATTGGCTAATTGAGCATCTGCTGTGATAATAGTTATTAATTGTACATTGAATCTGTTCTCTATGGCTTGAACTCACAACCTAAATATGAAGTGTCTAACCTTTTTAATTTATTCACTTCAGATGGTTAGGTGTACGGTTGGAATTTATTGGCAGCATCATCACATTCGCTGCTGCTGTCTTTGCTGTTGCTGGTCGAGGCTCAATCAGTTCAGGCATTGTTGGTTTGTCTGTAAATTATGCTCTTAATGTAAGTAAGAACCGTATAACTATTGATTATTATGTTTATTTGAAGCTGTTTCCAGACATCATGTACAGGTCGGCTATCACTAATCCGGCATCATTGAGACCTGTAGTTTGCCGGATTAGCGAGTTTGCCGGATTATAGAGTGGTTAGGTTAGAATACACTTAATTAACCTATCAGCAGTGGCATGCAGAGGGGGGGGGGGGCAAAGAGGCGATGGCCCCAGGCATCCAAATGGGGAAGGCATCCAATTAAAGAGAGAAATAAAATAGTGATTTGGAGCATTCAATCAAGGAGTCTTTGGGGCATACAATCAAGGAGTTGGCCCTGGGCATCACCAGACCTCTTCATGCCACTGCCTATCAGTAGATATAGACTCTGCTACGTCTTGCTCATTTTCATCACTGCTGTCTCCTACACTGGCTTGCTGCTGTGGATTTACAACCATCTGCACAATTTCTGAGTCAGTATAATGATATTTGAGTCAGTATAATGATTTGAGTCAGTATAATAATGAAATTTGAAATTATGCTAGCTGTAATCGGTGCTGAATTACTGATGAAACCCAGATGACTGATTGCCGGATTACTACTTGTGGCCGACCTGTAATAGGTTTTGTCAATATTAAGAGTGAATTTGTTGGTAGTCATCCAATTAGGTATTTTTAGGAGCTCATCATTAATAGTGTCATTGATAGAAGTTGGATTTCAGTGGGAGACAGCAAAAGTTGTCTACTAATAGAACAGGTTCAGGGAGACAAGATGCATTGGGAAGATCATTGATGTATATGAGGAAGAGCAAAGGACCAAGGATACTGCCCAGAGGCACTCCTATGTTGACATTCAGAGTTGACGAGGTTACGCCATTGATGGAGACATACTCATGTCTGCAGCAAGATGTTGTGATCTGCTGTAACAAAATCTTGTTTAGGTCCATTAGATATTCATTATTTTCTCAGAAGGAATAGATTAGTCCAATCATTTTAATTATAGCATCATTGGTACTCTTACTGAGCCTGAAACCAAACTGGTAGTGGTTTAGAATATTATGTTTGGATATGAATTCATTATTTATTTATATACAGTATTATTTAAAAAATTTAAATAATCATATTAATTGATGATCCAATGTCTGTTGGATCATCACTTTTGAAGATTGGGATAATTCCTGCCAACTTTATTAGAGGTTTTGGTGTCTAGTGATTTATTGAATAATGATGCAATAGGTAGTGTAGTACATGAGCAGTTTTTTTTTTTTAACATTACCAGTGTAGTATTTGCTTTGTCCCCTGTTTTGTTTTTTAATTAATTTATATATACAGTTCAGATTTATTATGCATATTTTCTCTCATATTACCTTTTGCCATTTTCTCCCGTTAGATAACTGTAACTCTCAACTTTCTGGTGAGAATGTGCTCAGAGATAGAAGCCAACATTGTATCTGTTGAGAGGATTAAAGAATACATTGAGGTATGTCTCTTAGTCACATCTTTATTGTTTCTTCTTAAAGATTATGAGTATCTTCTTTGCATGAGTCATAAGTTTCAGTGTAATCTTTATAATTTTTGTGATCACTGATAAATTTTAACAGAAATTTGTCGTTGTCTTTGCTGCCAAGGTTTAATAAGTAGAAATTTTGGAGTTTAGTATTTATTCATAACTTTCTGTGCATATACTGTACAATGTGTTTAGCCACTAATTAATTGTAATCTATGAAGTCACCTATCCTCCTGTGTAGGCATCTTTTTATTTGTAATAAATGTTTTTTATTGTGTAATCTCACTACTCAGTATTTTTTTCAAGGGAAAGCACTAAGCCCTTAGGAATCACTCTGTACCTGGGGGAAATGGAGAAAATCTGGTTTGATCCAAGAAAAGGAAGGGTATATTCAGTTTTTTTAGGATCAAGAGGCCTTCATTGGCATCAAGGCACCCTCCTTCCTGTGAAGGGTTGCTAGTCAGTATGTTACTAGTGTTCATGTATTTGTCTTCAGTTAATAAGCTTTCCCATAGAAGGGAACCACTGACTTAAATGATTGACTCCTCCCTATAGACTGACCCACCCTGTAAAGACCAATTTAAGACAACCAGAGAAATGATCCACAAGTGTCTGCAGTTCTTATATTCACTCGTATTTTTTGTTGATACTGAATACATAGAAATTTTAATGCAACTGTACTTCAAAATTTAGTCCTAATTTTTTTTGAGTATCTTTGCCATAAACACTTTGATAGGCTGTTAGTAAGTGTATTTAGGTATAGGTACACATAAGAACAGTTATCATACATAGTGTAAATTACCTAGGATAACCCCCCAAAAAAGTCAAAGTAACTTATTTCCAATGGGGTCCTTATTCCTATTGTCATTATTCAAACCATTTTTGGTATTCAGCAAAAGTTTCTTCTAGGAAATTTTAAACACTTAATCCTCCACTAACTTAGTGTATGTGTATAAATATATTTCCCAACAGGAAGATCATGAAGCACCATGGGATGTTAAGCAATGCACTCCACCAAAGTCATGGCCAGAGAATGGCTGCATTGTATTTTCCAACTACCAAACCAGATACCGCCCAGGTCTAGAACTGGTGTTGAAGGGTATCACTTGTACCATTAATCCTGGAGAAAAGGTATAAATACTGTTAAAATGTTTTGGTGTAATTGGATCTGATAGCATTATCAAGATTTTCTTTTTTGTTTTTAAATATTTATATATTGATCTTTTCTGAGGATAGTATCCATTTTCTATGGTTAAAATAATCCATGCTACATTTTCTTTAGTCTGTAGTTACATAATGTATGTATTAATTATCCATTTATCTAACTCATAAAATCCACAAGGTCTGCATCCTACATGTACCTGGGTTTGTCATTTGCTTCACATATGTACTTCCTTTCCTTCTTTCTTTCAACACACCGGCCGTATCCCACTGAGGCGGGGTGGCCCAAAAGGAAAAATGAAAGTTTCTCCTTTTACATTTAGTAATATATACAGGAGAAGGGGTTACTAGCCCCTTGCTCCCGGCATTTTAGTCGCCTCTTACAACACGCATGGCTTACGGAGGAAGAATTCTTTTCCATTTCCCCATGGAGGATGTACTTCCTTTGTTAATATATATTAGTACTCTTGGCCAGTTATTCTATTTCATACACAGTTTGTTGAAAGATTGCATATGTATTCTGCATAAGTGTAAATATTTAGATGTTTTCTATATTGCCTTCATGTCCTTTATAGGTATTTTCATGAACCATCTGCAATGCTAGCTTAAGATTCCATTCATTAGCATTTGTATGACAATACTGTACATATTTCTCTACTGTTTAGATTTATTTATGATTTTTTATTTCCTTACACCCACCTGTAGGTTTAAGATACAATACATTAGCTGTACCGTGTGTAATGAAACATTTCCAACATCAGTAAGCTTGAATCCCTATATAAAACAGTATTATTGACTTGAATCAAAATAATCTACTAATTTAAACACATTGCTTGCAGGTTGGCATTGTGGGGAGGACAGGAGCTGGCAAGTCTTCTTTAACTCTTGCACTCTTTAGACTTATTGAGGCTCATAGTGGTTCAATTGACATAGATGGCATCAGGATTTCCAAAATGGGTCTCCATGAATTAAGAAGCTGCCTCACTATTATACCACAGGTACCTAAGGATATAGTTTAAATTGAAGCTAAAAAATATTTTTGTTGTTCATCTTGCATGCTAGTGACTCTTTTGGGGCTTAACCATGTTTTATTACATGTCAATACATTATCCTTGTACAGCATTAATAAAAAAATATTTGAATTTGAAAAAATGCTTATAACTTTTTATGAGAGCATTCATGCCTACAGCAGCTTATGCTTTCCATGTATATGGCTGGTTGATAAGTGAAAATTGCCAGCAGGTGCAAAAGAGCATTTTTTTTATTGTCAAATGCATCTAAAATGCCTGATAATGTGTTTGCACTATATAATTAGTGCTCAATACAGCTAGACAAAAATAAAGCGATAAAAAAAAGTAAAATAAATACAAAGTACATAAAATACTTATCTTAAAATATGGCACTAATTGCCCTTCCCTAGAAAAATGACAGGATGGATAATGAGAACCTTCAAAACTAGGGAGGCCAAGCCCATGATGACACTCTTCAGGTCACTTGTTCTATCTAGGCTGGAATATTGCTGCACACTAACATCACCTTTCAAGGCAGGTGAAATTGCTGACCTAGAAAATGCACAGAGAACCTTCACGGCGCGCATAACGGAGATAAAACACCTCAATTACTGGGAGCGCTTGAGGTTCCTGAACCTGTATTCCCTGGAACGCAGGCAGGAGAGATACATGATTATATACACCTTGAAAATCCTAGAGGGACTAGTACCGAACTTGCACACGAAAATCACTCACTACGAAAGCAAAAGACTTGGCAGACGATGCAACATCCCCCCAATGAAAAGCAGGGGTGTCACTAGCACGTTAAGAGACCATACAATAAGTGTCAGGGGCCCGAGACTGTTCAACTGCCTCCCAGCATACATAAGGGGGATTACCAACAGACCCCTGGCAGTCTTCAAGCTGGCACTGGACAAGCACCTAAAGCCGGTTCCTGATCAGCCGGGCTGTGGCTCGTATGTTGGTTTGCGTGCAGCCAGCAGTAACAGCCTGGTTGATCAGGCTCTGATCCACCAGGAGGCCTGGTCACAGACTGGGCCGTGGGGGCGTTGACCCCCGGAACTCTCTCCAGGTAAACTCCCTTACACAACTGTTGTGCGAAAATGGCGGAAAAGTGGTAAAAGCACCAAACATAATGAACAGTGGCTTAATTAAAAGACAGTGATACTGTGGAGCACCAAAAAGAGGGTGCCAAATATGTGAGGCTCTCCTGTACTTAACTGTGAGAGGTCCAAACAAAAGTCTGTGAAAATAATACTGTACAGTATACAAATAGTGGATGCTCTAGTGAAAAAGTATAGAGTATGCAGTTAAAATAAGTGCTTAGCTAAATCATTTTGGAAGATTATTATTTGGGCTCTCAAGTTTCTAATAAATAAAGGGTAATGTTGGATTAAATATACTACTATATTGTACTGGATTTTTTTTTTTTTTTTTTTTTTTTTTTTTTTTTTTTTTTTTTTTTTTAACATGTCAGCCATTTCCCATTGAGGCATGGTGACCCAAAAAGAAAAAAAGAAAGAAAAAGAACTTTCATCATCATTCAACACTGTCACCATCACACATACATAATTGCTGTCTTTGCAGAGCTCCTTAGATACAACAGTTTAGATGTCCCTCCAAACAGCCAATATCCCAAACCCCTTCTTTAAAGTGCAAGCATTGTACTTCCCATTTCCAGGACTCAAGTCTGGCTAACTGGTTTCCCTGAATCCCTTCACAAAATATTACCCTGCTAACACTCCAGCAGCTTGTCAGGTCCTAAAAACCACTCGTCTACATTCACTCCTATCTAACACGCTCACGCATGCTTGCGTGCGTGTAATTGTTAAAGTAATTGCTATAACAAAATGCTTGAGGAAGGTTTTTATATGATTTTACATCTACTGTAACACCTTTAAAATTAATCATTTGGACTAGGAGTACATGGAGGATGGAAAGATAAGGCACTAATCACTTTAAAATAAACAGCTATAATGATTATGTAAATTATATTTACAGTTTATAGAAAGTTTTATAAAGGACTTAGTGTTTTACTAAATGTGTTTATTGGATGATATGAGAGGACTTGCAATTCTGATATTGTTTTACCACTGAACCACTTTTATTAGCTCAGCAAAGTCATCATATTACAGTAGATCCAAATAAGTAATCAGTTTCATATACAGTAGCCATAAATTACAGTGGACCCCCACCTAACGAACGCATCGCATAATGTTAAATCTGCCTTACGAAGCATTTGAACGCAAAAGTTTTGCACCGCCTAACGATAAAAAACTCTCATAACGTGATTCGTCCGGGACGCGTCCCACGTGTGGGGCCTCAGTCAGTGTTTACAAGCCAGCCAGTGCGGTCGCATCTACACATACATTTGGTACATTTCACGTTATCCCAGTGTTTTTAGTGCTTGTAACTGCAAAATAAGTCACCATGGACATCAAGAATGCTTCTAGTGCTATCCCTGTGGTAAAAAGGGCCAGAATTAGTATGGAATTGAAAAAAAAGAGATGAAGGAAATGTGTGCAAAGCGGGTTGAAATGCAAACCTTTATAGATGAAAATCACCCTAACAGTTATTGCAAGCCGTGCTGGTGACTATTATATTGACAATGTTGTGGCCCATTTTTGGAAAATCTTAAAGGAACGCGAGGTACAGAGCTCTATGGACAGATTTGTTGTGCAACAGAGGTCCAGTGACTCTCAAGCTGGTCTAGTGGCATTAAAAGAAGAAGGGAAGTAACCCAGAAAAGGACTTGAGGTAGCAAGTCCTAATGGAAGGGGTTTCCCCTTCTAAACAATAACAACTTCCACAATCTCCCCTCCTCCCATCCCATCAATCACCACCAGATCTTCAATAAAGATAAGTGTCATGTATTCTTAACTTAGTAGAGTAGGAATTGTGCATGTCTTCTTCAGTTTGTGTATTGAAATTAATATTTCATGTGGTAAAAATTTTTTTTTTCATACTTTGGGGTGTCAGGAACGGATTAATTTCATTTCCATTATTTCTTATGGGGAAAATTAATTCGGCTAATGATTATATCGGCTAACGATGAGCTCTCAGGAACGGATTAATATCGTTAGGCAGGGGTCCACTGTATTTGAAAACCATTTTTCTGGGAGGTGAGTGTGTTCAGATATTTGGGAGTGGACATGTCAGCAGATGGGTCTATGAAGGATGAGGTGAATCATAGAATTGACAAGAGGAAAAAGGTGAGTGGTGCACTGAGGAGTCTGTGGAGACAAAGAACTTTATCTGTGAAAGCAAAGAGAGGAATGTATGAGAGTATAGTTATACTAATGCTCTTGTATGGGTGTGAGGCATGGGTTGTGAATGTTGCAACAAGAAGGCTGGAGGCAGTGGAGATGTCATGTCTGAGGGTGATGTGTGGTGTGAATATAATGCAGAGAATCTGTAGTTTGGAAGTTAGGAGGTGTGGGATTACCGAAACTATTATCCAGAGGTCTGAGGAGGGATTATTGAGATGGTTTGGACATGTAGAGAGCATGGAACCAAATAGAATGACTTCGAGAGTGTATAAATCTGTAGTGGAGGGAAGGCGGGGTAGGGGTCGGCCTAGGAAAGGTTGGAGGGAGGGGGTAAAGGAGGTTTTGTGTGTGTGAGGGGCTTGGACTTCCAGCAAGTGTGCGTGAGCATGTTAGGAACGGATGGTTTTTAGGACTTGACAAGCTGTTGGAGTGTAAGCAAGGTAACATTTATGAAGGGATTGAGGGAAAGTGGCAAGCCGAACTTGATTCCTGGAGATGAGAAGTACAGTACCGGCACTCTGAAGGAGGGGTGTTAATGTTGCAGTTTTATAACTGTAGTGTAAGCATGCCTCTGGCAAGACAGTGATGGAGTGAATAATGATGAAAGTTTTTCTTTTTCGGGCCACCCTGCCTTGGTGGGAAACGAGCGAAGTGTTAAAAAAAAATTCTGGGAATAAATTTGCTCTACAGTGCAGTACCAAAGTATTTTCATGTTCTAGTAATTTAAAATGTAAACATTTATTGCAGGACCCTGTTTTGTTTAGTGGAACTTTGCGCATCAATTTGGATCCATTTGGCATGTATGATGATGCAACTGTTTGGCACGCACTTGAATTGGCTCATCTTAGTTCTTTTGTTGCTGCCCAACCTCTTGGTCTGCAAAGTGTTGTGGATGAAGGGGATCCAACCTCAGGTAAAAGTAATACATTTATAATTTCATGATTTTAAAAGCTGAAGTTCCTCTTGGGCTAGTGTAACCCAAGACAACAGCAAAGACTATAATCAACACAACTAACTAAAAGAATATACCTATAGGTTGCCATATCTAAAAAAAAAAGTATGCTTTAACCCTTAAACTGTTAAAACATGGATCTGCAGCCATGTGGCTTACTGTTTATAGTATGACACACCTTCTGAATGTGGCATGATGTATTTTGCAGTTGAAAAGTCTTGGGTCTGAAATGTCAAAGTAACAACATCTAGTAAAAAAAAGTTCTGCTATCCCTACCAAGCCAATTGCCTTAGTTCATGCTTGGTCACCATCATGGGCATTAAGAGACAGTTTTAGATTTTTTTTTTTTTTTTAACAAGTCGGCTGTCTCCCACCGAGGCAGGGTGACCCAAAAAAAGAAAGAAAATCCCCAAAAAGAAATACTTTCATCATCATTCAACACTTTCACCACACTCACACATTATCACTGTTTTTGCAGAGGTGCTCAGAATACAACAGTTTAGAAGCATACACATATAAAGATACACAACATATCCCTCCAAATAAATAAATAAATTCTATTTAGAATGAAGACTGAAGATTTCTCTAGCAATGAGCACTGAAAGATTTACTAGGTGTGTAGTATTTTTTGACAATGTAAGCAATATAAATTAAGGCTCTGTACAAGAAGTGGTAACACATATGACCACATAAACACTCCACTCACCTTACATGGCTATCACAAAGTGCAGTTATGTCACCCACATGGATGTACCCTTGCTCCACCCATTTAATATGTTTCTAATGTACAGTAGACTGTTGAGCAACACGATAGTTATGTATACCAAACTGATAAACATATGGGAAGAATAGTTATTTTTATTTAACCCCAAAAGGGCAACCAAATTTCTTATAGGTCTCAAAATTGTAAAAAACAATGATGTTAATAATGTAACTGAAGGTCAATCTGGTGATGTTCATCAAAGTTCCTCCAACCACATCTTTGCTAGCAGACAGAGATACTTATTGAGGGGACTAAACTTTATATGTATGCCACATATTATGACTATTGATATTTCATATTTTTTAAATGCCTTTAAGAATTGACATAAATTTACTAACAGATACAGCTCTGAGCTTCTGACATCTTTTAAAGAGATTTTAGTTCTTGTTTGGATCTACCTGAAATACCATACAAAACAATGAGCTTTTCTGAACATATGTAACCAAAGTATTTATCTATATTGCAGTCAAATGTGAGAGTACCTTCAGAAAGTAATTTATTTACTTTTATGCAATAAGTTGGTAAACCTAATCTGGTGAAATACTGTTGTATGCAGCATCCCATGTCATCTATTTTATGCCTATAGTGAGGCATGTACATGTGTGTTATAAGTTACGTTTTTGTAACATAATTCTTTAATACCCTTGATCAGACAAGAAGCATGATTTTGGATTCTTAAGTTGTCCATGTGTGGCTTGAGCTGTAACTGTATTAAACTGCTGTGCTCACCAGCTGAAATTTTAGCTTACCATAGTTATGAAAGGACAAGTCAGGATCCCTTAAGAAAAATCAAGATGAGAAATTTAGAACTTGTGTTTATACATACCTGTATATAGATTACTGTATTTTACTTCTTAAGCTCAGCATATCAACAAGCTGTATTTGTTTTAGTGTTGGTCAGCGGCAACTCGTCAGCTTGGCTCGAGCTTTGCTCCGTAAATCTCGCATTCTGGTGTTAGATGAAGCAACCGCAGCCATCGACTTGGAGACAGATGATCTGATTCAAGCTACTATCCAATCAGAGTTTTCCAATTGTACTGTCCTTACAATTGCCCATCGTCTCAACACTATCATGGATTGCGACAGGTTAGCATTTCTCCAAGCTCTTGCTGGTTTTTATTTTTATTTTAGCTGATAGAGTGTAAGTTTCTTTCCTGTCAGGCAAAATTGTTTGTATGTGGAGATCCCATTTCTACTATTAATTTCCTATATGTGATATAGGTTTGATCTAATGCAATCACCCAAAGCAAGCATTAAACACTGCAGTCTACAACAACACTACTGGTGCATACTCTTTGTTGGGCTCTGTGGCAAAGGAAGATAGCTGATGCAATTCCTGTTTGAAAAACAGGAGATAAGTCCTGATCATCAATTTACCTCCCATTTCTCAGGTGCTATGTGACATGCATGTAGTGCTTCGCTTAAATGTAATAAATTTGATTTCTAATCTTTCAAGAAACACCTGTCAAAATATTCCCGCCTCCCGTTCTACCTCTCTCATCCCCTGCCCCCTTCTTATATATATTTTGGCTCCCTTCCCTTTGCATGTGTGTGTGACCAGTTTATGGTCCAAATTGGACCAAGATATTGTCATAAGTTTGTCTCCATACAGATTATTTGTGTATTGTTACAGTCACGGCAAAAATTCTTTAATTAATCTCTTGACGGGTACTTCGATATTATGACCTACATGGGCATCTTGGTGGGACAAGTCTGGTGTTAAAGAATACAAAGAAGATAGTTTTTCTTCCTTCTTTTGGTGGCACTGGTGCTGTACATCCCTTATGTTTCTAGCACTTTCCCAGGAATCCAGTACTATATCAGTTCTAGTAATACATTTTAACTTTTTCACCATGGCTTTAATATTTTCACCTGTCATGACTTACAAATGTTAACATTTTAATTGTTTTTACACAAATGTTAACATTGTAATTTTTTTTACCTGATTTGAATAATTTTATCTTTAGTGTGACTCTGTGAACTTGTTTGTTAGAATGGTTTTTGTATTTATATACTAGTTCAGTATGATCCCTCTGGGTTTAGCACTTCCCTATGAATATAATAATAGAGAGCAATGTGTGGTGTGAATATCATGCAGAAAATGAAAAGATAGGTGAGTAGGGGTCATCCCATGAATGGTTGGTGGGAAGTGGGTTTAGGAAGCTTTGAGTTTTGGAGGCTTGAGCATCTTGTAAGCTTATGTGAGAGGACTGTTAAATAAGAGTGCATGGAGGCAAGTGGTTTTTAATGGACACGTTGTTGGGTGTTGAGCAGTTTAACTTATGAAGGAATTCAGGAAAATTAGTTAGCCAGACTTGAGTCCTAGAAATGAAGAGGGCGGTGCCTGCACTCTGGAGGGGTGGGGATGTTAGTCGGAGGGTGAATCTAATTGTGATATCAGTACTTCTGGAAAAAGCGATGCAGTGGAGTGTTGGTAAATGTATTTTCTTCTTTGGGTCACCCTGCCTTGACATGTGACGGCTGTTATGTTAAAAACTATTCATATAATGTAGTTTTGGCTTGTGTATGTATAGTTGTTTGCTTTTTTTTTTTTTTGTCAAATATGCTGAGTAACCTCACAAGTCAGAACTATGTAAATCTAACACCTTCCATATTTCTTACCTCTGATCCTACCTGTGCTATAGAAAATGAAGTTTACTTGCTGTAATGTCTTTGCAAAAAACTGTGTTCTTTTAACAAGTAATATTATGTGAAAACTTGTATGTTCTTCTCCACAGAATAATGGTGATGGACAAAGGCAAGATAGCAGAGTTTAATACACCAGCTGCATTACTGGCCAATAAAGATTCCATCTTCTATGGCATGGCAAAAGATGCTGGTCTTGCATAGATATTTGTCATTATAATGTACTTTATCTATGGCATTTTATAGCCCATGCAGGTTTTCTGCATTTTTAATAATAATATACAAAAAATTAGATTTAAAGGAAAATAACCACTTTTGAATATTAACTTTTGCATGCACACATACATATATACTGAGGCAGTAGAGAAGTTCATACCAAGAGGCAACAGAAACAATGGGAAGACCAGAGTGAGCCCATGGTTTACAAGGTGTGGAGAGGCCAAAGCTAAGTGTGCTAGAGTATGGAAAAAGTATAGAAGGCAGAGGTCCCAAGAAAATGGGGAATTTAGCTAAAGAGCCAGAAATGAATATGCACGGATAAGAATAGCCAAGCATTAATATGGGAAAGACAACATCGAAAGTCAAATCTGGCCCAAGTTGGTATACAGCCACATCAAGAGGACCAGATAATCAGGCTGAAGGAGGAGGAATGAGGAGAGCTGTTAGGGAGTGACAGGAATGTGTGACAAGCTCAGCTCACAA